TTTTATCCCCTCCATCTTCCATCCTCAACTCCCCCCCCTTCCCACGTCTGACAGACCCAGGCGGCCTCGGACTCCTGGGCTCCTCCCCGGCCGCCTGCCCCCAAGGTCAAGGCCTCCTGCTCACCTCTCAAGGTCACCCCCCGGCGGCCCCGCTGACCGGCCCGGCGGTCGCGGCCACGCCCCATTGGATGGTCAGCTCTCCCCCACGCCCGCTCTTTGTGCCCGGCCCGAGAGCCAAGACGACCGCCCTCCTTCCCCACCGCCCTCCTCTCCCTTCCCTCCCTCCTCCTCCTCCTCCCCCTGCCCCTCCCTCCTCTCAGTCTGTCTCGCCACAGATCACTTCATCAGCGTCAGCCGGAGGAGCAGGAAGAGGAGGAGGAGGAGGAGGAGGAGGAGCAAGCCCGGTAAGTGTCGCTGTTTTCTACCAGACTCTTTATCTCCTTCACCTTGACCTCTGCAGCTTGGGCGTCTATCATACAACTGTTTGGGCGTCTGTCATACAACTGTTTGGGCGTCTGTCATACAGCTGTTTGGACCGTGTTTCTTTGGCGTATGTTAGAGTGTGGTGTGTGTGTGTGGGTGGTTGGCGGGTGCTCTGGTGTGGTTTGCTCCTTCCTTCCTAACAAACATCTGTTGTCCTTATCCCCCCTCCTTCTTTTTTTGTGTATGTTACTCTCTTGTGACACCTCTATTCTTCCGCACTTGTATGGCCTTATTGTGTTGCAAGTGCTGTAAAACTCTTACTAAAACTAAAAAGAGTGTGGAGTTGAGGAAAATTTGTCGACTTTTAAATGTTTTCATTTCTTACTTTACTTTTACTTTCTCCGTCCTCTTGTACCTCTAGGGCGTGGAGGGGAGAAAGAGATTCCTGTCTCTGACAAGGTTGATGGCCTGGCTGGGTGGGATATTGTATGTTCTCAGGGTATCCTTCACACCCTGGATCCAGGTCTTTCTTGGTCTTCCTCTTGCCTTGTACCCTGACACTTTCCTGTTGTAGGCTTTACTGGCAAGCTGGTGAGGTGCCATACGTGTGGGATGTCCAAACCACCTGATTAATGTTTTAACTGCGTGCTGTAAATCCACTATTACTTTTTTTGGACCCACTTTAGGCTAACATCAAAGATTTCGGAACCTTAGTTTGCAGTGACCTTTATGAATGGGCTTTTAGATTTTGCTGGTCTTCGAGACCCGTATGCAAAGATCTGAGAAGATTCTATCGAGCGATTTCATTTGTGTCTCAACCCGGTGGAATCGGGCGCTCGTCAATTTTTGGACATGTGGAGTTATTGGTATCATTGTAAAGCTTGTTCATTTGTCTTGCTTTCGGTGAAAAAAAATGCTCGTCCATCATAAATAGAAGTCGAGATATTTGCGACTGAAGGAGGTGGGGGTTGCCTGGTTCAAAGATACGGATCGGATTAACGAGTAAATTTCCTCTTTGGAAAGTGGTGGCACAGAGTTCCCCACGTCATATGGATACGATAGTAAAACACGACGTACGGATAGGGTTAGGTGGTGGCACAGAGTTCCCCACGTCGTATGGATACGATAGTAAAACACGACGTACGGATAGGGCGAACTGCGGTCAGATGAACGTGCACAGGTGATTTTACGTTTTTTTGAAGGTCCGGGCACGCTAGTACGTGTTGATCACTTGCTTGGATGACCCAAGATGGCCGCCACACAACCCATGCTGTTCTTGCCACTGATCCCATGTGTACCCTCAGAAGGATCGAAAAAGGTTTCCTGAGAACGGAATGGATTCAAGCTATCGAACCAACGCCTATACGATCGCCCACATGGATTACCTGCCCTGGCCATGCAGGTGTTAGGGGAAATGAAAAGGCCAACAGATTGGCTGGTGAGGCCACCTTAGTTGACAGCACGGTTCGACCAGATAGGGTCGAGATCCTGAAATGTCTCTCTCTCTCGCCAGCTGATTGAGGAGGAAGGTAGGGAGGCAGAGGCCAGAACTGCCGTGGAGAGGGTGATGTTTTTGGGAGTACAGAAAGGAA